CTTCCCTATGCACTTTTTCTTTCTTGATTGTTATATATACTGCTGGTCCTGAACTGTCCCGAACTATCCCGAACTTTCCCGAACGATTTGTAACGTTGATGTCTTCCGCTAGGACTATGGTATGTCCTGCAGGTTTCGGGCCTCGGGGTATCTCAGGCCATTACCCGCGTTATCCTCGCGGTCCACCACTATGGACCGGTCCTGGGAGCCTTCTAATGGCATTGTAGGTGTTGTATACGGAATTGTCCGTAATCGGTTGATTTTTCGTAGTCGGTTAGACTACGAAAAAAAAGAGGTTATCCGGTGAAGTCAAAGTTGGCCTATCAGCGGCATTGTGGGTTGTTACTCGACTCTCTAATCGATATAGAGAGGAGTTCTCTTGGATAGGGTCGCCCGTCCGGAGGGCGAGTGTGTAGCGGCGCTAGGTTGTTAAGATGTATGTGCGGCCCGTTGTCTGCACGGTCGAACAATCCGCGCGCCAACCGGGCCACAAACTCCTGGATGGTGTCAATTTTCAGGTTGGCCGCTATGACGTCATTCCGGACGTAGCGACCCGCACCGACAATGGTTCTTAACGCCAGATTTTGCTGGGCCTGTAGTCGCCGTCTCAGAAGCTCGCTCAGAAGCGCGTACCAGGCCGGAGCAGCAAACGTGATGATGGATCTGATATACGTTTTGTAGACTCGCACTTTGGTGTTAAGTGGTAACTTGGATGCCAGGACCGGATGGAGCATCGCCCGCGCACATCGTGCTCTGCGGACGACGAGGTCGTCGTGCGCAGTCATGCGCAGCGCCCGGTCGATCAGGCACCCAAGGTAGGTCACGGCCTTCTCGTACGCGATCTTCTGGCCATTGAGGGTTAGCTGAGGTGGTAGGTTCTTGAGGCGGCGAGTGAGCAGAGCGGTCGTCTTACCAACGTTGACGACCATCCTCCACTCATCTAGCCATGGTGGCAGCAGGTCCAGGAGACGTTGTATCCTGGCAGTGGCAATGTGGGCTCTTCTGGACGAGGTGAAATAAGCACTATCGTCCGCGTATAACGCCAATTCCACGTCATCCTCCCACTCTTGCAGCCTTCCTGCCAGGGTAGGGATATCGTTGGTATAAAAGCCGCGTACAGGACTGGAGACAAACAGCTGCCCTGAGGAACGCCGGCTCTGATGGTTCTGGTTGCGGACTCGGCGCCCTCTACGCAGACGTAGAACTTATTGTCTGCCAGGAAAGACGCCACTAGCCGCAACATAGCAGGAGGGACACTGGTCTGTTCTTCTAGTTTGTAGAGTAGTCCAGAATGCCACACCCTGTCGAACGCCTTCTCGATATCGAGATTAATTAATGTCTGCGTATTTGTCTGCGTAACCTTAGCAACATGTCCTGACGGTTCTTGCCAAGCCCTCTTTCTTTTCCAGAGTAATTTCCTTTCTTCTCGGTCTTTCACTATATCATCACCATCACCTTATGTGACCAATTAAATTCCACGCTATTTGCTCCCAACTTCGATCTATATTTCTGGCTATAGCCGTTATTCCTCGATGGCAACTCCGTTTAAAATGTTCACGAAACAAACAAAACTGAGCAAAAAAAACTTACACGAAACTCAAACGTGGGAAAGCAAGTTTTTCTCAGGTACTAAAGCTTAGAGGATTAATATATAATGAAAAGCAAAACAGCTACATGCCATAATGCAAAAGGGAGGTAAAACAATTAATGCATCAGCAACATTTTGGTCGGAGTATATCCGAACGATCACGAACGATAGACTCGGTAGTGCTTTTTATCACACTGTGCTGCCAACTTATATTAAACTTTCCGCCAGATTCCACTAGATATTTTTTAGCGCTTAGCTATTTAAAAAAGGGCTATAGACCCTAGAATTGCACTAGATCTAGCGCCAAATGAGCTTAAACGGCAACACTGATGAGATACGCGGTGAGCCGCCGCGTGAGCCGATGGTCCCCGCGTACCGAAATTCTGTAAACCTTCCTAGGAGGCCACGCAGCCCACCGGTGAGCCAATTGCTATATCTCTTAAACTAGTCCATAGATGTTGCCTATTTTTATTTTCGACGCATATCATTGCATTTACCTATCTTTGGTATAAAAATCTGAAGTTGTGAAAAATTACGGACTACGTGATTTTGACGTGGCCCCAATGGAAAGTCATGACAGGCCCACCGGTGGGCCGCGCGGCGTTCAACGTGTTAAAATAAACATATTACTGAGTTACTTGATAAAACTTCTAGATACTTAAATATTTTTAAAGTTCTTGCTGGGACAGTATGGGGAGTTCATCCTAAACATTTAAAAAGGTTGTATATTGCTATTATAAGGAGTAGACTTGATTACGATAATAGTTGTCAAAGGTATATAAATAAGATAGATAAAGTGCAAAATCCAGCATTGAGAGTAATTGGAGGTTTTATTAAAACAACTCCTGTACATGCAATGGAAAGTGAACTTGGTCTACCTCCATTGCACGTGCGGAGAACGTATCTAGCACGTAAATTTATTTTAAAAGCTCGGTCTCGAAATTTCAATGTTACAATTAAAATATTACAAGAGTTATTGACATATAAGGACAACAGTTACCGGCAAAATAAAAAGAAGCCATTGTTGCTAACTATATTTGATTGTCTTTCTAATATCTATATTCACTTGAGTCGACAATTAGAAATTTTTTCGATGAATACTTGGGTTACCAACATATATTTGGATAATGTAATATGTAATATCCCGAATCTTGTAAAAGCAAAGCGAAGCTACAGTGATTTTAATTTAAAATTATTATGCCTGGATTTTATTAACCAGCGATATAAAAAATATTATAAACTCTTTACGGATGGATCTAAGGATGGAAATGGAATTGGTTCAGCATTTTATGACTCACAGTGCAACATTAGTCTACAATTAAAAATAGACAGTGACATAATATGCGTTATGGAGGCGGAACTTATCGCAATTTGTGAGGCCTTGTCTTACGCAATATCGTTACAACAAGACAACATAGTGATATTCACAGATTCTAAGAGCGCACTACAACATTTGGCTCGGTGTACCTCGGGACTACGAGGCACTCCGACAGCCTACTCAGTCCTGGACTGTATTTTAAATCTGATCTCCAATTCTAAATCTATCAAGTTACAATGGATCCCGTCACACTGTGGCATTGAATATAATGAACGGGTAGATGTTTTGGCTAGGCAAGCTATTACTGATGGAGTTTAATACAATGTACTCCCTTATTATATAGATTGCATTTGGTTAATAAAAAAACAATGCTACAAATCATGGAAGGAATATTTTGATTTACGCTCCAAAGAAAAAGGTATCTGGTATAAAACGGTCCAGCCACATCCTCTCAGAATTCCTTGGATTGAGAATCACAGATTATCAAGAAAGGACGCAATAGTGATTATGAGGCTGCGTTCTGGACACATTCCTTCCAAGACGTTTGCTTTTCTCATGAATAAAGTCCCGTCACCGAACTGTGAACATTGCGGTGTTCCCGAGGACCTAATGCATATCTTGCTGGAGTGTGCCCGCAATACTGCCTTTCGAATAGCTGAGTGTAAAAATATTTTTAAAGAATTTGCTGACTGTAACATTATTCTATCCAACCCTCACTCCGATGAAACAAAATTACTGGTTAAACTGTATAACATAGTGTTCTCCTCAGATCAGTCAATTAGATAGATTTTTTTTGTTTACTTGTTAAATTGAATGTTATTTAGTTCGTAATGATGTCAAATAGAGCGACATAATCGCATTTTAATTAAGCTCTTCAAATAAAGATTTAAAAAAAAGTGTTATAGAAGATGGATGGCTATGTAATATAGGAAAGGTGTTAATGAAGGCAGACGTGTTACTCATGTTACACTACAGTTATTTGAAGATTTTGCTAGGCATGAATATACAAAGTAACGAGGAAGCCATTTAATGGAAAGGTCTTCCAAACCGCCACATAACGGCCACATCGTCCCGCGGGTGTCGTAAGAGGCGACAGAGAGAAACTGAAACAGGAGATGTGCAGCAGCGTCTCCTTGATCACAACCGAGAATAATGAAAAAACCGCATGGCAGCTATGGCAATGATCCCCCTATGAGGCAATCCATGGGGGACTATGTTCCTATGTTCAGCAGGGGACTTTTAAAGGCTGTAACGGTAACGTAAGATCTGGTCTATCCACTAATCTCCCATTTGGTTTATATTTCGAAGTTCCATTATTTTTTTGGTTTTTGAATTAGCTTCTTCAGAATAAGTGTAGTGTCAATTAGCACTTAAGGCACGGAAAGGTTTTCTACACGTTCTATAATTACATAATAAATTCACAAAAATAGTTTTTATCTGGTACACTTTTATACATATTAATATAAAACACGTTTACATAATATTTTACGTATCTTACCAGATAGATCACGAAAATGGTTTTGCTCCAGTGTGTTTTTTCATATGCCTTTGCAAATTATGTTTTGTAATACATCTATATTCACAGATATTACACGAAAAAGGTTTTTCTCCGGTATGTATTTTTATATGCCTTTGGAAATTTTTTTTATGTGTACATTTATAATCACAATTATTACAACAGTACACTTGCTTAGCGAAGTGCGCTTTAAGATGTGCTAAAATGTAACGTTTTCGATATGTTTTAAATTCGCAAATATCACAGTTATATATACCCATTAGGTGTGGTACTGGAGTTTGTTCAAGTTGTGTCTGAACTTCATCTGAGTTCTTTTGCGTCTTATGACTGTATGATATGTGGTCGGCGAGAATGTCTTTTGTTAAAAACATTTTTCTACAATCATCGCATTCAAAAATGTATTTTGTTGATGCCTCAGATGTGTTTTTCGTAAGTATATTTACACTTTGTTTAAAATTTTTCTTTTTCGTATTTTTTGCAGGATGCTTCCCCTTTTTAATAACTGGTTGAGTATCTCTTTTCAGTTTAGGCTTTGATTTAATAGTAGGGCTTTCTGAATTGTGGTTTCCTTTACGAACATCAATTATGTTACAATCAGTAGAATTTGATTTAATCTTTTTCTCACACGGTTTTGAAAAATTATTTGTTTGTATACAGCGTAGTTCTGAAATACAAATGAATATATATATAATAACTGAAATATATATAAAAACATGACATAATAAACACAGAAACATGAGTTCTATATGCTTCTTAACTAAAATATAAATAATTCTACCTATTTGTGAGTGTTTTATACATAATCTAAAAACTATTAAAACGTGTCACCTTTGGACGTTCATTATGGACACATCAATCAAAACTACTGTGTCCTACTTGATGGAAGTGTTCCACAAAAGGACGATGAATGCCTTTGAGATTGTGTTACGGAAGGCGTCCTGTTCAACTCCTAGTACTACTTCCCTTGCTGTTAATTATACATCTTTTGAAACATTCAATGGACAATCATTGAATAGTCTTCAGCAACAGATGGAGCTGCTTGCCCGTAATTGCCGACAACATGGCGATGCGGAGCCGTATGAAGAATATGGATTTCTGTTTATAAATTGCATTATAAATTTTAAATTTCCATATTAAGAATTTTTTTCGTCTGTTCCTCAAATCTGCAAAACGCTGTCGGCCATGTTAGCACATGTCGTGACGTCACTGATCCTACTTAAGGATATTAGTGTTCTGTGTTTTGTGATTAAGTGAAATAGCTAACGTGCTGTGTTATTTCGAAATTTTTAAGTTATATTTACGATTATTGAGTTTTATTCCGAATTTTATTGAAAAGGCATCATGGAAGACGAATTCGTAAAAACAGAAAGTACTAATGTACCAAGGATAAATAAATTGATGGTGGCAAAATTTTTTTTGCATGCAATCCCAAGTTTTGTTCTGCCGAGTTAGGGAATATTAAAACATCAGTGTAAGTAACTTATATTATACTATTATTACCAACTTTTGTTTACACAAAAACACAATACCAGGTCAGACAGGTGTACTTTGATAAAACATAGTTTAGTAGCTATCATAGTTTATCTATATCATAGTCTATCTATAGTTAGTTATAATATGTAAGTTAACGTAATTTATGTTTGTCTTGTATTAAACGATAGTTAAATAAATCATACTGACATCAAAATTATCTTCACAGAAGTATAGATTAGATTTAGTAGACAACGTTTTCGGGTCTCTTCTTGCCAGTTCTCATATTTAAATCAGTTGGCACTTTAATCCATAACTTTCCTGGCGTTCTTAATGCTCGTATTTTTGCATTCAGGCACAACACAATAATGATATAGATGATAACTCATTATTAAACATTAAAAAGTATATTATTCCTTTGCAAAATCGGCAGAATCGACGACTGTGACGTCAAGAGTTGAACAAACATGGCGGCTAGCGTTTTTACGCGAAAAGTTAAAACGATAGATAAAAGTAATTTTTATGGCGCTTTTCGGTTTTTAAAAATTATATAAACATTATAGTGGTTCATTATCACTCCAGGATTCATTTCAAACAATTTTGAAAATGGGTAAAATAGCCTATTATCTATTCTTTAAATCACTGTTTCGAATTTCACACAGAACTAGTGTTATACACACAGTACAGTCGAAGTTGGCGTGCTAGTGCGACATAAGAGAATTCATCATCACATTTTATCCCGTGGGATTCGTAAGAGGCGACTTTGGGTTTGGTTTTCCGACAGACGGCGGTATAACCACCTCGTTAACTTCAGATGTAAAATATCCAGACCGGCGACAGGCAACATTGCCAGAGATGCTCACGTCTGGTTCTGCGATCGTCAATCCTATGCCAAGCGTGACGACTGAGGCCAATCCTGCCTACATCGGGAGAGATTCTTTCATGTACAGTAATGGAAATTTACGGGATGATTAATTGTAGGCCATACAAAGACTCAAAACAAGCCCCGGTAGCTCAGGAGCTAGGAGTTTGCAGTAAAATTTCAGAGTACGCTAGCAACTCAGGTTCGTTCTCCACCAGCACCCATAAAATTGCTAATTTTCTATGTCTAAACGGAGTCGGGTGGTAGGTTAAGTCATAATAGTTAACAGAAAAAATTCAAAAAAATCTTTGCTATGTATTTAAAAATTGCTCCTTCGTTTATTGCGCATCTTTCTCTATTCGTTCGTGTTGATTTCGTACTGTCCACATTTGGCTTCGTTTATTGGACTCGATTGATTTGGATTTGGCCTGTTTAGTTGCTCTTTAAGACGACCTAGTCTTAGTGCGACCATGTCTGCGTACACCACACAAGAATATGCTAACATGCACCTCGTTTATGTGTCAGTAAGAGAGTAGCACAAAGGTAGTTCAAGCGTTTTCAATTGTAATTTTAATTTGATGTCAAAAGATGCGGCTCGCTCTGGTCGCCCTCATACGGATAAAGTCGACGCCATTTTTGAAAAAGTGGAGCAAGATCGGCATATTAGTAGTTACGACATAACCAAGGAATTGAGTATTGATCACAAAACAGTTTTGACCCATTTGAAAAAGTCTGGCTATACAAAAAAGCTCGATATTTGGGTACCACACAAGCTTACTGAAAGAAACCTAATAAATGGTGTACTCATTTGCGATTCTCCATTGTAACATTAAAAATTTGATTGGAAAGATTAATCACTGATGATGAAAAGTGGATTACCTACAACAAGAACGTGCGAAAGAGATCATGGTCAAGGGTAGTCAAGCTCCATAGACTGTAGTGGAACCCGGATTACCACGCAACAATTTGGTGCTGTGTGTATGATGGGATTGGAAGGGCATCGTTTATTATGACTCGCATCTCTACTGCCAACAACCAACGAGACTCAAGAAAGAAATAGAGAAAAAGCGGCCGGAATTGATCAACAAAAAAAGAGTGGTCTTTTATCATAATAACGCCAGACCACACACATCTTTGGCCCACTCAGCAAAAATTGAGAGAGCTTCGTTGGGAAGTGTCAATGATCACCATATAGTACTGACTTTGCACCTTCAGATTTTCACCTGTTTTCTCTTCAGAATTCTTTGGGTAGTGTTAGGTTAACAACAAGAGAGAGTATTGATCAAAAAGTACCAAGATTTCTACAGCAACGGGATTATGTCATTACCTACAAGATGGCAACAAGTTATTAAACAAATTGGCACATATAATTAAATGTAATTAAACTTTGAAATATTTTGTATTTAGTGAGCTGAAATCGATGAGTTGTTGCAGTTTTGTGTCATTTACTTAGTGTTTATTATATATTTACGTGGTGACTTTGGACAATGATCTAACAGATTTTTTTTCCAGTTTACCTTTAATTTATATATTATACTAATATTACCATGCCTCGAAAACGGAATGGAATAAGCAGTTAATAAAATCTGCGAAGATAAAAATCGGGTGCACTAAGCTTAAAGAAAAGCTTGCAAACTTTATGAGATAATATTCTTTTACCTACTCGTATGTAATCGTCCTTCTTTTACACAGTCTATTCCCACTCTCTCTAAGTCGATGGGACGGTAATCCAACACGACTGGGGAGAGATCAGGCCTAGAAACAACGGCTTTACGCGCTTTCCGAGGCGCGGGGTTGTACCACTGCCAATTTCCTGGCTCCGGGCTGCTACTGAAGATTTCTTAATGGCAAAACCCATTAACTGATTTTGGCCTAACCCAGGATCTCATGATTAGCAGATGTACTTACAACAACTTTCTCAGATGTTAGTCGCCCTATCTAGAATTCAGTGAATCCCCTTTTCTGTTTTATCTTAATAACACCTTGGGTCACCACCGGCGAATTCAGTCCTTGCTTAAAACAACATAATTGTATGGCCTGCAAATAATCATTTTGGGTCATTTGTGTCACAAACAATCATTGGGTTTTTCATGTGTAATTAAAGAACTAAATTCTGTATGTACAGTACATCTCCTTTTTGATACGGTTTTTTAAAATATATTCTTTTACCTATGTCAAAGTCATCTGTTATACCCCTTGAACCATATGTAATAAGTGGCAAGTCATTCTCTGAATTCTTATGTCGATCTTCAAAAGCATCAATCTCTAAGTCTTCTTGTTTTTCAGCGGTATCTAGAATGAAACAGATTCTGACTCTATATATAAAATAAAATCTGATATTATTTCTAAGCGACCAGATCATTAGAGTCCATCATCACACAGCTCATACGCCCGAGCCACCCACTTTCATTACCATACTGCATGTTTCATAAGCTAAGTAAAATAACCTGAAGTGGCAATGGGCCAAAGAAAAGACTGAGACGAAGTATAGGGCCGTCCCCACTAGATGGAGTGACAACCAGGTAAGACATGCAGGAAGTCAATGGATGCAGGTGGCTCAGGACCGTGTTTTGTGGTGTTCCTTGGGGGAGGCCTATGTTCAGCAGTATACTTGTGAAGGACTGTCATGATGATGATGATTCATTCATCTCATTTAGTGAGTGTTCTGCCACAACTTGTTTTTAGTAGGTGAGTGCTTGCCAGTATAAGGATGCCTTGAGCACCTAATCTCCATATATTTTTTAGTATGAAGAAACAAACAAACTAACAGTCCACCTTATGGTATGTAGCCGATCCACCTGATGGTAAGTGGGTACTGCAGTCCATGGACTGCCTGCAGCTAACTTCAAACATAAAAGACTACAATGTGCTGTCCCCTCTGACGACTAAGATGCAATGCCCCACGGCCTGTGATTATACTATAATAATTAATAATTTATTTTATTTTGATAAACTGTACAAATTATTCCAATAAGTCTTAACTTAAAAATAGTCTACAATGACAGGCACCTGAACTAGGATAAACCTGTATCTCAGGTGTATGTGCTAAAAGATACATTAACAAATATTTTCTGTTTCTTATATAAAATGAATAACGTACTAACTAATAAGGGTTATTTGGGTAAAATTTTATATCATCATTGATTTACTTATGATATTAATTAACTTAAAACATTTGTTTGTATGACAAATTTTGTAACCATGTTCGAATTACCTTTTTACAGTCTGTCATTTTTAATGGATATGTGTACAAAATTGCATTAACTTGATTATACAAAAAAGGGCCGAGGAATGTAAAAAATCTATGCATGAAATAATGCCTTATTCTAATGTTAGTTTTAATTACTATTTCTTTGCGTCTTTTATCAGTGACCTCTCTTCTGTAGGGCTAAGTGCTGTTTTAGTAACGTACTCATAACGAATAACTGGCGCACTGAGAGGACATTATAGGATTTGTATAAGAGATGGGATGGAAATAGAATAGGGCGGAATGTTGCAACTTTTAATACAGCTCTTTGAGCGCGTTCCAGTGGTAGCAGTGTAGTTTTAGCTGCTCCACCCCAAGAGGTTATACAATAGGTAAGTATTGACTGACATAATGCGTAATATACTTGTTTTATTACCTTAATATCAGTAAAAGAACGATACTGACTCTATACTCTTCAGACTGGCACACAGCAGTGCACGCACTGCTATTTGTCGACATAAATAGGTAAGAGAAGGATGGAGGAGTCCAAGTTGGCTAAGAAATTGCCGTACCTAGCTTACCAGTTGTAGGTAAATCATTAACTCCTATGAAGTTAATACATCTACATATGGGCTGAATTTATACAGGGTCAAAAAATTTTAAATATATTTATACATAAGTTAAAATAAAATGTCTAACAATGCTCATTATGATGTCCATATATGCTTATCTTTTACATAATTATTTAATTTTATTTTCTTTCTCCATTAGATTTAGAGTGCTCTTTACATGCACTTTGAATTTAGGCAAAGGAATATCAGTACATTGCACATGAAGCCCTTTTTATTTTGTGTCCATGGTCTACAGTAACCACTTGCCATTATGTAAATTGTACCTTAATTTAATAAAATCACAAAATGTGTATATCTTACCTATTTCATGAATCCAGTTTATTTCAAATTTGAAATTCTCATTTTCGATTTTCTCTTCCTCAACTTTAACAGATTCAAGGCAAAAAATGTCATCCTTTCGATCATTTTCTATATCACATTCTACTGGCCAGATATCTATATGATTAATTTGTGTGAATTGAATCACATTTCTAACCTCATGCGGTTTTGGTATTGACTGAAACCAAACTCTTTTTTAAATAAGAAAAAAGCTACTGTAGTAGTGGTGTAGGAGAATCCATACTACCCCATACCATCCGCAGATGCAGCAGCATCTTCCTGACAACAACTCCAAATAATAATAAAAACCAGACAAAAGTGAGAGTTCCCAGTAAATTTAAATAAGAATGTAGATAATTAAGAAATGTAATTAGAATCGAGACTTAACAATTTTTCCAGTTTACCAATAATATTTATCACCTACAGACAATATTTCGTTTATATACAATAGAGTAATACATAACATTATAAACGGTTTGGTAATTATTTGTATAAAATATGTACTTCACTTACTGTAATTCATAAAATATAGAACATTGCTCTTATGAGAAAGTATGTTGGATTAAAAATTGCAGTAGAAAATACATTCTCCCATATAAAAAAATAAAATAAATAAGGTTTTATTCACAAATAAGCGCATATACAATGTTAAACTTCTTTCGAACGCGAAATGCGACCGTTTCAGAAGTAAGCCTCCTTCTATATCATAAAATTTACTAAAGCAAGAACCGCATATACTAAATTCAACACTGAGCATAAATAACATTTTCTTTTTTAGATAATAGAAATAATGATTGTGTATGTAGTGAACATGAAGTGTGTGTAATAGTCTCACAAATTTCTAACTTTTGCAACAGAATGCAGGTACACAATGTCAAATGCCTTTTTAAGGTCTACAAACACCGCGAGGCAATTCGAATTTTTATAAAGACTATCAACAACTACAGATGTTAGTGCTTCTACAGCATCTTCAGTCGAATTTCCTGCTTGAAAGCCAAATTGGATAAGATGTGAAACTTATGTGCCTCTTGTTGATGAGTTTTTCTAAAGCTTTTGAATATTTATAGCTTTTTAGCGAAATTGGTCTGTAGTTGTTTATATCCTTCTCTTCTCCACTTTTGTGAACAGGTGTTACTAGGGACTCCTTGAATAAAGACACATGATTTGTGATAGCTAGTACAGATTTGTGTTTAGAAGCCAACATTATTGTGATCATTAAGTTGCCTGATCAAGCAGTGGACTTTTATTAATAAGAAAAGTTTTATTCTGCGGACCTTGTAGTTATGGTTTAAGGATATCCACTACCCTATATACCTATCTACGGGACGGGTCTCGCAAGAGGCAATAGAGGGAAACAGAAATAGGAGTTGGGCAGCAGCATCTTCCTGGCAACAACTCAGACCAATATATACTGCGTTTCCCAACCTGCCAAGTGTGGCAAATTTGGCAAAATCCCTCCTATGAAGCAATCTATGACAGACTTTTATAGGTTTTAATGGATGGAATGGATAATACCATGGACCCTCCTGCAAGCAACTGCTCCAGAACTGCATTTGACTCAATAGCCTGTTGTTGTAATGTTCTACATCGAATAAGTCTTGCATGACAGATGAAACAGACAATTATGGGCTCCTCATCTTCATCCATCTGAAAATATGAAAGTTTGTCATAAATATGGAAAACTACATAAATATACAAGTTCTTAATAAAATATATTGGCTACCACAACTCTCTTCTTCAACACCATTTTGTAATAACATTGAAGTAACAAATAAACTTACAATCCACCTGATGGTAAGTGGCTGCCACAGCACATAAGCATCAACAACAAACTTCTAGCAAAGGCTACAGATGCGATGTTACCTCTGCGGACTAAGATGTAATGCTTCACAGCCTGTTATCATACTGCCTCTCAATGTCCTTCAGGTGGGGACACATACTGCTGCGTGGTAGCAGGTATAGGTATGAGGACGATCACTACCCAGGCAGGCTCATAGACAGACACAAGTCCTACCACCTAGTGGATCATCATCACTATAACAACACAGTCTTAAGCCATCTATATCCATCGACTTCCTGTCTTACCAGATTGCCACTATCTAATGGGGGGGCCACTCCACAATTTGCTTACCAGTATGAGGCTACCACTCGAAAATTGTTTACCCATCTGCTGTTAGTTCTGCAAGCTATTAGCCACGTGCAGAGAGTTTGCCTATGACTGCCCATCTCTCGTCTCCGCCGACCGCATCGCTCGCCTAGTTAGTACCATTAATAACGCAGTTGTGCGCTCACGTGTGCAACGTCTTTGAATTTATTACTCTTGCTCCCAAATTATTCATTGTTTTCTTGTTAAGTTTTACTAAATATATACACACACACACACACACACACACACACACACACACACACACACACACACACACACACGCACACGCACACGCACACGCACACGCACACGCACACGCACACGCACACGCACACGCACACGCACACGCACACGCACACGCACACGCACACGCACACGCACACGCACACGCACACATCAAATTTTGTGAGTCAAGCAATTAGGAGTCTGCATGAAATTAACAGATAAAATTTTAAAAGCTGTAGATCCAGACTTTTGGAACCCTGACAGAGGTATTTTTTACCTTGGGCTTTCAAAATTCAATTCTAATAAACCAACATTCATATATTAACTTTACTACTTTCATCAAAACTTTACTGAAAATGCTTGCACTAGGAGTGATTTACAACAATAGTCAAATGGCAGATTTGAACTTACTACTTTCTTGAGTTTACAATTTTCATTCTAACTATTAAGCCACTAGTTTCAAATGAAGTTAATAATCAAACACTTCCCTGAGCAATTTTGACCTTTTTGATTTAATATCAACTGCAGTATAAAGTAAGTTTCAGATAAGTGTGGACATCTAACAGTTAAATTATTCAATTTCATATGGATATGGGCAGCAGATGGATAGGTCTTAAGATGAACATGGACAAAACAAAGATCATGTTTAATGTCTATGTCACACCTATGCCAGTAGTTGTATGGGAGCACTAAACACGAAGTTGTTGACGAGTATGTTTACCTGGGACAAATAGTCCAACTAGGTAAGTCCAACTTCGACCGAGAGGTCAATCGACGGATTCAAATCGGCTGTGCAGCGTTCGGGAAATTACGACGCATCTTCTCGTCAGACATACCTCAAAACCTGAAAACTTAGTTGTACAACCAATGTGTGTTGCCAGTGATGACCTATGGAACCGAGACGTGATCCTTCACTGCTGGCCGTATGAAGACGCTCAAAGTCGCTCAGCAAGCTATGGAGAGGGCTATGCTCGGAGCTCTATACTCACCATATGACAGAGCATTAAGCTGCTATTATATGCTGGTATTCTGTGAAGGCGCAGTACTATCCTTATCGAGTTGACCCATCTGTGATTTAACCACAATATAGCTGCAGCATGGCTTTACCACATATAAAATAAGGATGATAATGTCCCACAGACAGAATTAGGTCTCAACGGAGACTATTCATCAATGCAGGACTGGATTTAAGTGGGTGAAACACCAAACTGGGGTGGATTTTAATTTCTTGGAAGAAATTCACAATAATAATCATTGAAGTTACATGTATTATAACAGACACCGTGAACAAAATGTATGCAGCAGTACAGGTCGTGTGGAAAGAGCTCCGTTCAGATCGACAGACATTGAGCATGCAAGACATGTGGTGTGGCAGACAAAATAGTGTTCTTTTAGACACTTTAAATAGATATATTCACATCTAGCACACGCAAGCGAAGCCTGTCCATGCAGACACAGGCCAACACCGGCCAGCATTCTCAACAAGAAAGTTTTGTCTGTGTAGGTATGTGTCTGCGCGAGTCTGTTGCAGTTGCGCGGCTAGTGTGAATGTTATCGCACTTAAAAATTCAAATGCACCTTGCAGTTTGCCTGATGGCGTATGTACATGCCGAGTGCGCAAGATGTGAAAACTGTTGTCTGCGGTGTTTGCCACGTTACGTGCTGGTAGATCTGAACGGAGCTTCAAGCGTATTGCAAACAACTTACGTCTTCGCGTCTCTTCTAGAACGTAGTACATATCACTTCAATGATAGTACTGATTTTGGAGCGACCCAGGATTCCAGGCTAATTGTTGTTTTTCAGGTCGTGGTTGTATTTTATCACTTTATGGCTATGCCTTAGCCTAGCCCGGATCTATCGCATATTATATCAGGCTAGTTTTAATACATTTCTCCAGCAATAACAAGAAATTACTACAGCTTCAATTTGCAATATTAATAAATAACAACAAACTTACAAAACTGTTCGTCAATGTTTTATAGAAATTTTGGAGGCCAGTCTTTTTTAGTACACACATGCGTATATTAACGCTTAAACAAATTCTACAAATTTCACTAAAAGCCATTCCTGTTTCCTATAGCTTTTATTTAGGGTATGTTCACCAAGGTACTCTGTGATGTTCACCCACAGACTCACAGAACACTACGTAGACAGAGAATGCTTCTCTGTCTACGGAACACTATTACCAACTATTACTCGTAGACAGTAGGATTCTCTGTCTACGCAGTTTTATTACTTATTATCGTTGTGTGGCATATCTGTAATCTATGGTACATAGTCAGTAATCTATGCATTGGACAGTACACTGGGTGCGTTCGGCAGAAAAAAGCGCTAGCAAGCGCTTGTAAGCAAAATGGATCGTAAGCGGTAAGCGCTGTCAAATCGTAAGTAGCTATTTTCCTCAGGACACGATGTTAGTTTAACCGGGGAATCTAACCTAATTTAAATATATGTTTGTAAAGTATTCATATACTACCAATCATGAGTTTTTAATAGCATGTATACGTTTATTATGTCATTATATTACTTTATTGCACAAAACAACTTTTAAATCTACTTTAAGCAAAATGGCGGTGTGTACTGAAGTAGCAATGTGTTGGGAAAATATTTAGCGCTTATAAGCGCTTGCTAGCGCTTTTTTCTGGACCCCTCGTTATATTTCGGAACATAGGTGAACATATCCTCTCTCTAGTATATAGCACAGAGTACCTTTGTATAAACTGAAAAGTATATAGTCAGTAATCTATGATATCCTCTTAGTAGTCCGTGGGTGAACATACCCACAGAGTACCTTTGTATAAACTGAAACATACCCTAAAAAGCAATAGGAAACAGGAATGGCTTTTAGTGAAATTTGTAGAATTTGTTTAAGCGTTAATATACGCATGTGTGTACTAAAAAAGACTGGCCTCCAAAATTTCTATAAAACATTGACGAACAGTTTTGTAAGTTTGTTGTTATTTATTAGTATTGCAAATTGAAGCTGTAGTAATTCCTTGTTATTGCTGGAGAAATGTATTAAAACTAGCCTGATATAATATGCGATAGATCCGGGCTAGGCTAAGGCATAGCCATAAAGTGATAAAATACAACCACGACCTGAAAAACAACAATTAGCCTGGAATCCTGGGTCGCTCTAAAATCAGTACTATCATTGAAGTGATATGTACTACGTTCTAGAAGAGACGCGAAGACGTAAGTTGTTTGCAATACGCTTGAAGCTCCGTTCAGATTTACCAGCACGTAACGTGGCAAACACCGCAGACAACAGTTTTCACATCTTGCGCACTCGGCATGTACATACGCCATCAGGCAAACTGCAAGGTGCATTTGAATTTTTAAGTGCGATAACATTCACACTAGCCGCGCAACTGCAACAGACTCGCGCAGACACATACCTACACAGACAAAACTTTCTTGTTGAGAATGCTGGCCGGTGTTGGCCTGTGTCTGCATGGACAGGCTTCGCTTGCGTGTGCTAGATGTGAATATATCTATTTAAAGTGTCTAAAAGAACACTATTTTGTCTGCCACACCACATGTCTTGCATGCTCAATGTCTGTCGATCTGAACGGAGCTCTTTTCACACGACCTGTACTGCTGCATACATTTTGTTCGCGATGTCTGTTATAATACATGTAACTTCAATGATTATTATTGTGAATTTCTTCCAAGAAATTAAAATCCACCCCAGTTTGGTGTTTCACCCACTTAAATCCAGTCCTGCATTGATGAATAGTCTCCGTTGAGACCTAATTCTGTCTGTGGGACATTATCATCCTTATTTTATATGTGGTAAAGCCATGCTGCAGCTATATTGTGGTTAAATCACAGATGGGTCAACTCGATAAGGATAGTACTGCGCCTTCACAGAATACCAGCATATAATAGCAGCTTAATGCTCTGTCATATGGTGAGTGTAGAGCTCCGAGCATAGCCCTCTCCATAGCTTGCTGAGCGACTTTGAGCGTCTTCATAAGGCCAGCAGTGAAGGACCACGTCTCGGTTCCATAGGTCATCAATGGCAACACACATTGGTTGTACAACTAAGTTTTCAGGTTTTGAGGTATGTCTGACGAGAAGATGCGTCGTAATTTCCCGAACGCTGCACAGCCGATTTGAATCCGTCGATTGACCTCTCGGTCGAAGTTGGACTTACCTAGTTGGACTATTTGTCCCAGGTAAACATACTCGTCAACAACCTTCGTGTTTAGTGCTCCCATACAACTACTGGCATAGGTGTGACATAGACATTAAACATGATCTTTGTTTTGTCCATGTTCATCTTAAGACCTATCCGTCTGCTGCCCATATCCATATGAAATTGAATAATTTAACTGTTAGATGTCCACACTTATCTGAAACTTACTTTATACTGCAGTTGATATTAAATCAAAAAGGTCAAAATTGCTCAGGGGAGTGTTTGATTATTAACTTCATCCAAAAGTCTGGATCTACAGCTTTTAAAATTTTATCTGTTAATTTCATGCAGACTCCTAATTGCTTGACTCACAAAATTTGATGTGTGTGTGTGCGTGTGCGTGTGCGTGTGCGTGTGCGTGTGCGTGTGCGTGTGCGTGTGCTGCGTGTGCGTGTGCGTGTGCGTGTGCGTGTGCGTGTGCGTGTGCGTGTGCGTGTGCGTGTGCGTGTGCGTGTGCGTGTGTGTGTGTGTGTGTGTGTGTGTGTGTGTGTGTGTGTGTGTGTGTGTGTGTGTGTGTGTGTGTGTATATATTTAGTAAAACTTAACAAGAAAACAATGAATAATTTGGGAGCAAGAGTAATAAATTCAAAGATGTTGCACACGTGAGCGCACAACTGCGTTATTAATGGTACTAACTAGGCGAGCGATGCGGTCGGCGGAGACGAGAGATGGGCAGTCATAGGCAAACTCTCTGCACGTGGCTAATAGCTTGCAGAACTAACAGCAGATGGGTAAACAATTTTCGAGTGGTAGCCTCATACTGGTAAGCAAATTGTGGAGTGGCCCCCCCCATTAGATAGTGGCAATCTGGTAAGACAGGAAGTCGATGGATATAGATGGCTTAAGACTGTGTTGTTATAGTGATGATGATCCACTAGGTGGTAGGACTTGTGTCTGTCTATGAGCCTGCCTGGGTAGTGATCGTCGTCATACCTATACCTGCTACCACGCAGCAGTATGTGTCCCCACCTGAAGGACATTGAGAGGCAGTATGATAACAGGCTGTGAAGCATTACATCTTAGTCCGCGGAGGTAACATCGCATCTGTAGCCTTTGCTAGAAGTTTGTTGTTGATGCTTATGTGCTGTGGCAGCCACTTACCATCAGGTGGATTGTAAGTTTATTTGTTACTTCAATGTTATTACAAAATGGTGTTGAAGAAGAGAGTTGTGGTAGCCAATATATTTTATTAAGAACTTGTATATTTATGTAGTTTTCCATATTTATGACAAACTTTCATATTTTCAGATGGATGAAGATGAGGAGCCCATAATTGTCTGTTTCATCTGTCATGCAAGACTTATTCGATGTAGAACATTACAACAACAGGCTATTGAGTCAAATGCAGTTCTGGAGCAGTTGCTTGCAGGAGGGTCCATGGTATTATCCATTCCATCCATTAAAACCTATAAAAGTCTGTCATAGATTACTTCATAGGAGGGATTTTGCCAAATTTGCCACACTTGGCAGGTTGGGAAACGCAGTATATATTGGTCTGAGTTGTTGCCAGGAAGATGCTGCTGCCCAACTCCTATTTCTGTTTCCCTCTATTGCCTCTTGCGAGACCCGTCCCGTAGATAGGTATATAGGGTAGTGGATATCCTTAAACCATAACTACAAGGTCCGCAGAATAAAACTTTTCTTATTAATAAAAGTCCACTGCTTGATCAGGCAACTTAATGATCACAATAATGTTGGCTTCTAAACACAAATCTGTACTAGCTATCACAAATCATGTGTCTTTATTCAAGGAGTCCCTAGTAACACCTGTTCACAAAAGTGGAGAAGAGAAGGATATAAACAACTACAGACCAATTTCGCTAAAAAGCTATAAATATTCAAAAGCTTTAGAAAAACTCATCAACAAGAGGCACATAAGTTTCACATCTTATCCAATTTGGCTTTCAAGCAGGAAATTCGACTGAAGATGCTGTAGAAGCACTAACATCTGTAGTTGTTGATAGTCTTTATAAAAATTCGAATTGCCTCGCGGTGTTTGTAGACCTTAAAAAGGCATTTGACATTGTGTACCTGCATTCTGTTGCAAAAGTTAGAAATTTGTGAGACTATTACACACACTTCATGTTCACTACATACACAACCATTATTTCTATTATCTAAAAAAAGAAAATGTTATTTATGCTCAGTGTTGAATTTAGTATATGCGGTTCTTGCTTTAGTAAATTTTATGATATAGAAGGAGGCTTACTTCTGAAACGGTCGCATTTCACGTTCGAAAGAAGTTTAACATTGTATATGCACTTATTTGTGAATAAAACCTTATTTATTTTATTTTTTTATATGGGAGAATGTATTTTCTACTGCAATTTTTAATCCAACATACTTTCTCATAAGAGCAATGTTCTATATTTTATGAATTACAGTAAGTGAAGTACATATTTTATACAAATAATTACCAAACCGTTTATAATGTTATGTATTACTCTATTGTATATAAACGAAATATTGTCTGTAGGTGATAAATATTATTGGTAAACTGGAAAAATTGTTAAGTTTCGATTCTAATTACATTTCTTAATTATCTACATTCTTATTTAAATTTACTGGGAACTCTCACTTTTGTCTGGTTTTTATTATTATTTGGAGTTGTTGTCAGGAAGATGCTGCTGCATCTGCGGATGGTATGGGGTAGTATGGATTCTCCTACACCACTACTACAGTAGCTTTTTTCTTATTTAAAAAAGAGTTTGGTTTCAGTCAATACCAAAACCGCATGAGGTTAGAAATGTGATTCAATTCACACAAATTAATCATATAGATATCTGGCCAGTAGAATGTGATATAGAAAATGATCGAAAGGATGACATTTTTTGCCTTGAATCTGTTAAAGTTGAGGAAGAGAAAATCGAAAATGAGAATTTCAAATTTGAAATAAACTGGATTCATGAAATAGGTAAGATATACACATTTTGTGATTTTATTAAATTAAGGTACAATTTACATAATGGCAAGTGGTTACTGTAGACCATGGACACAAAATAAAAAGGGCTTCATGTGCAATGTACTGATATTCCTTTGCCTAAATTCAAAGTGCATGTAAAGAGCACTCTAAATCTAATGGAGAAAGAAAATAACAAATTAAATAATTATGTAAAAGATAAGCATATATGGACATCATAATGAGCATTGTTAGACATTTTATTTTAACTTATGTATAAATATATTTAAAATTTTTTGACCCTGTATAAATTCAGCCCATATGTAGATGTATTAACTTCATAGGAGTTAATGATTTACCTACAACTGGTAAGCTAGGTACGACAATTTCTTAGCCAACTTGGACTCCTCCATCCTTCTCTTACCTATTTATGTCGACAAATAGCAGTGCGTGCACTGCTGTGTGCCAGTCTGAAGAGTATAGAGTCAGTATCGTTCTTTTACTGATATTAAGGTAATAAAACAAGTATATTACGCATTATGTCAGTCAATACTTACCTATTGTATAACCTCTTGGGGTGGAGCAGCTAAAACTACACTGCTACCACTGGAACGCGCTCAAAGAGCTGTATTAAAAGTTGCAACATTCCGCCCTATTCTATTTCCATCCCATCTCTTATACAAATCCTATAATGTCCTCTCAGTGCGCCAGTTATTCGTTATGAGTACGTTACTAAAACAGCACTTAGATCAGCCCTACAGAAGAGAGGTCACTGATAAAAGACGCAAAGATATAGTAATTAAAACTAACATTAGAATAAGGCATTATTTCATGCATAGATTTTTTACATTCCTCGGCCCTTTTTTGTATAATCAAGTTAATGCAATTTTGTACACATATCCATTAAAAATGACAGACTGTAAAAAGGTAATTCGAACATGGTTACAAAATTTGTCATACAATGATACGGAGAAGTTGCTGATTGTTTTAAGTTAATTAATATCATAAGTAAATCAATGATGATATAAAATACCCAAATAACCCTTATTAGTTAGTACGTTATTCATTTTATATAAGAAACAGAAAATATTTGTTAATGTATCTTTTAGCACATACACCTGAGATACAGGTTTATCCTAGTTCAGGTGCCTGTCATTGTAGACTATTTTTAAGTTAAGACTTATTGGAATAATTTGTACAGTTTATCAAAATAAAATAAATTATTAATTATTATAGTATAATCACAGGCCGTGGGGCATTGCATCTTAGTCGTCAGAGGGGACAGCACATTGTAGTCTTTTATGTTTGAAGTTAGCTGCAGGCAGTCCATGGACTGCAGTACCCACTTACCATCAGGTGGATCGGCTACATACCATAAGGTGGACTGTTAGTTTGTTTGTTTCTTCATACTAAAAAATATATGGAGATTAGGTGCTCAAGGCATCCTTATACTGGCAAGCACTCACCTACTAAAAACAAGTTGTGGCAGAACACTCACTAAATGAGATGAATGAATCATCATCATCATGACAGTCCTTCACAAGTATACTGCTGAACATAGGCCTCCCCCAAGGAACACCACAAAACACGGTCCTGAGCCACCTGCATCCATTGACTTCCTGCATGTCTTACCTGGTTGTCACTACATCTAGTGGGGACGGCCCTATACTTCGTCTCAGTCTTTTCTTTGGCCCATTGCCACTTCAGGTTATTTTACTTAGCTTATGAAACATGCAGTATGGTAATGAAAGTGGGTGGCTCGGGCGTATGAGCTGTGTGATGATGGACTCTAATGATCTGGTCGCTTAGAAATAATATCAGATTTTATTTTATATATAGAGTCAGAATCTGTTTCATTCTAGATACCGCTGAAAAACAAGAAGACTTGGAGATTGCTGCTTTTGAAGATCGACATAAGAATTCAGAGAATGACTTGCCACTTATTACATATGGTTCAAGGGGTATAACAGATGACTTTGACATAGGTAAAAGAATATATTTTAAAAAACCGTATCAAAAAGGAGATGTACTGTACATACAGAATTTAGTTCTTTAATTACACATGAAAAACCCAATGATTGTTTGTGACACAAATGACCCAAAATGATTATTTGCAGGCCATACAATTATGTTGTTTTAAGCAAGGACTGAATTCGCCGGTGGTGACCCAAGGTGTTATTAAGATAAAACAGAAAAGGGGATTCACTGAATTCTAGATAGGGCGACTAACATCTGAGAAAGTTGTTGTAAGTACATCTGGTAATCATGAGATCCGGGGTTAGGCCAAAATCAGTTAATGGGTTTTGCCATTAAGAAATCTTCAGTAGCAGCCCGGAGCCAGGAAATTGGCAGTGGTACAACCCCGCGCCTCGGAAAGCGCGTAAAGCCGTTGTTTCTAGGCCTGATCTCTCCCCAGTCGTGTTGGATTACCGTCCCATCGACTTAGAGAGAGTGGGAATAGACTGTGTAAAAGAAGGACGATTACATACGAGTAGGTAAAAGAATATTATCTCATAAAGTTTGCAAGCTTTTCTTTAAGCTTAGTGCACCCGATTTTTATCTTTGCAGATTTTATTAACTGCTTATTCCATTCCGTTTTCGAGGCATGGTAATATTAGTATAATATATAAATTAAATGAATGTAAACTGGAAAAAAAATCTGTTAGATCATTGTCCAAAGTCACCACGTAAATATATAATAAACACTAAGTAAATGACACAAAACTGCAACTAGCTCACGAAATACAAAATATTTCAAAGTTTAATTACATTTAATTATATGTGCCAATTTGTTTAATAACTTGTTGCCATCTTGTAGGTAATGACATAATCCCGTTGCTGTAGAAATCTTGGTACTTTTTGATCAATACTCTCTCTTGTTGTTAACCTAACACTACCCAAAGAATTCTGAAGAGAAAACAGGTGAAAATCTGAAGGTGCAAAGTCAGTACTATATGGTGATCATTGACACTTCCCAACGAAGCTCTCTCAATTTTTGCTGAGTGGGCCAAAGATGTGTGTGGTCTGGCGTTATTATGATAAAAGACCACTCTTTTTTGTTGATCAATTCCGGCCGCTTTTTCTCTATTTCTTTCTTGAGTCTCGTTGGTTGTTGGCAGTAGAGATGCGAGTCATAATAAACGATGCCCTTCCAATCCCATCATACACACAGCACCAAATTGTTGCGTGGTAATCCGGGTTCCACTACAGTCTGTGGAGCTTGACTACCCTTGACCATGATCTCTTTCGCACGTTCTTGTTGTAGGTAATCCACTTTTCATCATCAGTGATTAATCTTTCCAATCAAATTTTTAATGTTACAATGGAGAATCGCAAATGAGTACACCATTTATTAGGTTTCTTTCAGTAAGCTTGTGTGGTACCCAAATATCGAGCTTTTTTGTATAGCCAGACTTTTTCAAATGGGTCAAAACTGTTTTGTGATCAATACTCAATTCCTTGATTATGTCGTAACTACTAATATGCCGATCTTGCTCCACTTTTTCAAAAATGGCGTCGACTTTATCCGTATGAGAGCGACCAGAGCGAGCCGCATCTTTTGACATCAAATTAAAATTACAATTGAAAACGCTTGAACTACCTTTGTGCTACTCTCTTACTGACACATAAACGAGGTGCATGTTAGCATATTCTTGTGTGGTGTACGCAGACATGGTCGCACTAAGACTAGGTCGTCTTAAAGAGCAACTAAACAGGCCAAATCCAAATCAATCGAGTCCAATAAACGAAGCCAAATGTGGACAGTACGAAATCAACACGAACGAATAGAGAAAGATGCGCAATAAACGAAGGAGTAATTTTTAAATACATAGCAAAGATTTTTTTGAATTTTTTTCTGTTAACTATTATGACTTAACCTACCACCCGACTCCGTTTAGACATAGAAAATTAGCAATTTTATGGGTGCTGGTGGAGAACGAACCTGAGTTGCTAGCGTACTCTGAAATTTTACTGCAAACTCCTAGCTCCTGAGCTACCGGGGCTTGATTTGAGTCTTTGTATGGCCTACAAATAATTCCTCTATCTTAATCATCCCGTAAACTTCCATTACTGTACATGAAAGAATCTCTCCCGATGTAGGCAGGATTGGCCTCAGTCGTCACGCTTGGCATAGGACTGACGATCGCAGAACCAGACGTGAGCATCTCTGGCAATGTTGCCTGTCGCCGGTCTGGATATTTTACATCTGAAGTTAACGAGGTGGTTATACCGCCGTCTGTCGGAAAACCAAACCCAAAGTCGCCTCTTACGAATCCCACGGGATAAAATGTGATGATGAATTCTCTTATGTCGCACTAGCACGCCAACTTCGACTGTACTGTGTGTATAACACTAGTTCTGTGTGAAATTCGAAACAGTGATTTGAAGAATAGATAATAGGCTATTTTACCCATTTTCAAAATTGTTTGAAATGAATCCTGGAGTGATAATGAACCACTATAATGTTTATATAATTTTTAAAAACCGAAAAGCGCCATAAAAATTACTTTTATCTATCGTTTTAACTTTTCGCGTAAAAACGCTAGCCGCCATGTTGTTCAACTCTTGACGTCACAGTCGTCGATTCTGCCGATTTTGCAAAGGAATAATATACTTTTTAATGTTTAATAATGAGTTATCATCTATATCATTATTGTGTTGTGCCTGAATGCAAAAATACGAGCATTACGAACGCCAGGAAAGTTATGGATTAAAGTGCCAACTGATTTAAATATGAGAACTGGCAAGAAGAGACCCGAAAACGTTGTCTACTAAATCTAATCTATACTTCTGTGAAGATAATTTTGATGTCAGTACGATTTATTTAACTATCGTTTAATACAAGACAAACATAAATTACGTTAACTTACATATTACAACTAACTATAGATAGACTATGATATAGATAAACTATGATAGCTACTAAACTATGTTTTATCAAAGTACACCTGTCTGACCTGGTATTGTGTTTTTGTGTAAACAAAAGTTGGTAATAATAGTATAATATAAGTTACTTACACTGATGTTTTAATATTCCCTAACTCGGCAGAACAAAACTTGGGATTGCATGCAAAAAAAATTTTGCCACCATCAATTTATTTATCCTTGGTACATTAGTACTTTCTGTTTTTACGAATTCGTCTTCCATGATGCCTTTTCAATAAAATTCGGAATAAAACTCAATAATCGTAAATATAACTTTAAAAATTTCGAAATAACACAGCACGTTAGCTATTTCACTTAATCACAAAACACAGAACACTAATATCCTTAAGTAGGATCAGTGACGTCACGACATGTGCTAACATGGCCGACAGCGTTTTGCAGATTTGAGGAACAGACGAAAAAAATTCTTAATATGGAAATTTAAAATTTATAATGCAATTTATAAACAGAAATCCATATTCTTCATACGGCTCCGCATCGCCATGTTGTCGGCATTACGGGCAAGCAGCTCCATCTGTTGCTGAAGACTATTCAATGATTGTCCATTGAATGTTTCAAAAGATGTATAATTAACAGCAAGGGAAGTAGTACTAGGAGTTGAACAGGACGCCTTCCGTAACTCTTTCTCAAAGGCATTCATCGTCCTTTTGTGGAACACTTCCATCAAGTAGGACACAGTAGTTTTGATTGATGTGTCCATAATGAACGTCCAAAGGTGACACGTTTTAATAGTTTTTAGATTATGTATAAAACACTCACAAATAGGTAGAATTATTTATATTTTAGTTAAGAAGCATATAGAACTCATGTTTCTGTGTTTATTATGTCATGTTTTTATATATATTTCAGTTATTATATATATATTCATTTGTATTTCAGAACTACGCTGTATACAAACAAATAATTTTTCAAAACCGTGTGAGAAAAAGATTAAATCAAATTCTACTAATTGTAACATAATTGATGTTCGTAAAGGAAACCACAATTCAGAAAGCCCTACTATTAAATCAAAGCCTAAACTGAAAAGAGATACTCAACCAGTTATTAAAAAGGGGAAGCATCCTGCAAAAAATACGAAAAAGAAAAATTTTAAACAAAGTGTAAATATACTTACGAAAAACACATCTGAGGCATCAACAAAATACATTTTTGAATGCGATGATTGTAGAAAAATGTTTTTAACAAAAGACATTCTCGCCGACCACATATCATACAGTCATAAGACGCAAAAGAACTCAGATGAAGTTCAGACACAACTTGAACAAACTCCAGTACCACACCTAATGGGTATATATAACTGTGATATTTGCGAATTTAAAACATATCGAAAACGTTACATTTTAGCACATCTTAAAGCGCACTTCGCTAAGCAATTGTACTGTTGTAATAATTGTGATTATAAATGTACGTATAAAAAAAATTTCCAAAGGCATATAAAAATACATACCGGAGAAAAACCTTTTTCGTGATCTATCTGGTAAGATACGTAAAATATTATGTAAACGTGTTTTATATTAATATAAAAGTGTACCAGATAAAAACTATTTTTGTGAATTTCTTATGTAATTATAGAACGTGTAGAAAACCTTTCCGTGCCTTAAGTGCTAATTGACACTACACTTATTCTGAAGAAGCTAATTCAAAAACCAAAAAAAATAATGGAACTTCGAAATATAAACCAAATGGGAGATTAGTGGATAGACCAGATCTTACGTTACCGTTACAGCCTTTAAAAGTCCCCTGCTGAACATAGGAACATAGTCCCCCATGGATTGCCTCATAGGGGGATCATTGCCATAGCTGCCATGCGGTTTTTTCATTATTCTCGGTTGTGATCAAGGAGACGCTGCTGCACATCTCCTGTTTCAGTTTCTCTCTGTCGCCTCTTACGACACCCGCGGGACGATGTGGCCGTTATGTGGCGGTTTGGAAGACCTCTCCATTAAATGGCTTCCTCGTTACTTTGTATATTCATGCCTAGCAAAATCTTCAAATAACTGTAGTGTAACATGAGTAACACGTCTGCCTTCATTAACACCTTTCCTATATTACATAGCCATCCATCTTCTATAACACTTTTTTTTAAATCTTTATTTGAAGAGCTTAATTAAAATGCGATTATGTCGCTCTATTTGACATCATTACGAACTAAATAACATTCAATTTAACAAGTAAACAAAAAAAATCTATCTA